AATATGGAAACAACAACTAAGCCTAACGTCACTGATCGATCTATCGACACATTGCGAAGACGTAGAATAATTAAAACAAATTCTACGAGTAACAATGATGAAAAAGAAAATTCTACGAAACGTAAAGAACAAGTTAAGAAAAGAAAGATTCGATCGACGACTATAGCACCGACAACAACGACAACAACGGTTATCCCTACTTTTACAAAATCAATTCGACGAAGACCACAAATGAAATCTCAAGGACCAAATAATACATTTTCTAAAGTAAAAGATATTCTTCCAACACCATCAACTACAACTGTTGAACATCGTTCGAGAGTCTCGAAGGAATCCTTTATTAGGACGACTTATCCTGATAATGAAAATTCGACTACCAATACAGATGAGAATCCTAAAACATTTGGAGTAAAATATTATAACAAAAATAATGAAAAGGATCGTAATCGTGGAAATATTACAAGCGAAAACATCGAAAGGATATCAATGACTACCAAGGAAACACCTGATCATGTTTATCGAACAAAACAAATAGACAAGGATGGGGTTAAAGAAATGTTTATCTCGATTGAACCTAACAAAGCTAAAAATATTTCTGAATTAGAAAATTCCGATATTTCGGAATTCGACAAGGAGAATAATTGGAAAATCTCCCAGGATCTTGACCTCAGCGGTATTCCATCGACAGAAGTAAGTTCTCTTGGTCAAGACAGAGTCGTTCGATTGATCGAGCACAGCTCGAGCAACATCAGATCTATCATTTCCTGGATGTCGGAGAATTACGATTTTTAATTCCAAAACTAAAAGTTTATATTCTATTTACAATTAGATGGTTTTCGAACTTTTATCAATTATTTCACATACAAAATTTCAATTAATTTATCTTACTAAGTTCGAAGATTATCGTCGCAAATTTGTCTTTTTAATTTTCAAATATAAATATAATATTTAGGCTTATCGTATATTCTCTCAGGTATAAATGCATACATTTTTCCTAAAAAATTACAAGAGATTATCGTTGCAAATTATATTTTTTTTTATTTTTCTATGTAAGTAATTTTAGATTACTTTCCAATTATTGCATAGAATTATGTTTATTAAATAAACAAATGTAGATTTTATGAATAGATGATCTTCGAACGTTTTTAAACAATTTTTATTGAAATAAAAATTGCAATGAATTTATTGTAAAAAGTTCGGAAATTATCGTCAAGAATAATTTCTTCATATTTTCGTCTGAGTATTTAGAACATTATACGATTTCAGAGTTATCTGATAGGCAATCCCTTGGAACAAACATTGGAACCATATTCGAGGAACGATCGTGTATTCGAAAATGGGAATAGAAAATTAAAAAAGATAAAAGAGAAGGATGAAAAAGAAGAAGAAAGAGACAAAGAAGAAGGAGAAGAAAAAACAAATATTAAAATTAAATCGTCGATCAAATTTATACATCATCCGGAACAGAGGTTGTATTATTACGTAGAACGGCGTAGGTAATTGTTTGCATGTTCATTTTTTTATTCTCAAGATTGTAATCGAATACAAATTTTCATTGTGTTTAAAGACTTAATACTCTCTCAATCTCTCTTATACAAATACTTAATTACTGTAGTTTACAACTCATGTATTATTTAATTGTTCTTTTCTTGTATTTGAAATATCTTTTCACACTTTGTGTGTATAATTATTTTGTTATGAATAAAGAGTGCAATTTTTATTTCATATTTTTCATTTTCGATGATCAAGAATTTCAAATGATTAGTATTATACCGAGGTCATGAAAAGGGTTACGTAACTGCATTTAATGTTTCAACAGTATGAAACCTTGATCCAATTTTGGGTATAGTTCCCATAGCATTCTGTTTAACACAGATACCTGCATACGTTTAAATAATTACAAGTTAATTACTTAAACATTCTCATCAGTATCGACACAGACAAAGTAAAGAAGGATAAACAACGTTACGTATATAATCATCAGATTATCGGTTGACAGTATCGCCAATCGATCGTACATATGCGGTTAGCCTCAATGCCGGTTCATGTGTAATACAACAATATAAATGGCACAACGTATCGAGACGATCGACGTAATTACGGTATTGTGAAAAGCATGACTAACATAAGTTGAAAGAGAATTCGTATATCGCTTAGAATCTTCTTTAAAAAAAAAATAACAAGATATGTGTAAAGAATCTGAATCTGTTTACCTATATCCACATATTGGAGTAAATCCTGATATGAAACCAGGACATGAAACACTTTGCTAAGTGGTTGAGTAATCATAAAACTGAATTCAAAATTATTCATAAAAACCTGTTCTAACGTAAAAAACTTTTCTTAAATATTTTTATATCTAAAGGAGACATCGCGAGATTATTTCAGAGTAGAAGGGATGAACAATGCCTAGAAGGTATGGTCCATTGAAAAAACATAAAGAGAAAAAAAAATTAATAATAAATATAATAATAATAATAATAGTTAAGAGCAAACGTAACTAAACGTGAACGTGAATAAAAGATAAAACCTTGATTGTTGTAGACAAAAGTTATTTTACGTATAGATAGGATGTGAGAGGCGCCCCGCACTTTTCTCAAGGTTAAGGTACCTCAGGGTAGGAGAACATAATACGTATCTTTGTGTTACGGTAACGAATGTGTTGGCATAGAATAATACGAGTTGATAAAATCCTAGAGAACGATAAATAAGTCCTCGGGAAATTGAAAGGGAACACTAGTGTTCGATTGGTCAACGGTATACCACGCAGTCTATATAATTCGATCCTTGCCTTTATACCCTAGTTTGGCCTGTTAGTTAGTTGAACAGTATCATTTAAAACGACGACATGATTGCTACCAAGGTATTTTAAGTGACTTTTATAATATGTGATTACCGGATTTTGTTCTTTCCAGTAATCCTATTTGATTGATAAGTTTTTCTTCATTAATTTATCAAAGTATAGACAAATGTCACGAAGTTCAAGTTTGATATTCCCGGTGGTGTTGATTTTTCGTGAAAAAATTTTATTATATCTAACTAAGCTGTTGTAACAGTGGTGATATCAATGATTGGAATAAGCTAGAAAAAAGCGTGAGAATATTAATTAAACGTTATAGAAATTTTCCATGACAAATTAACTTTTATTACCTCGATTTGTCGCGATGCAATTCGATCCGGAACGTGTTCTTACTATTTTAATCTGAATAATTGTGATCATAGTTCAGTATTACGTTCACTTAAGACAAAAGAAAGGGGCACGTTAGGTTATATATATACTTATATAATTATTGATTTCATCGATTTATAAGGAAAATATCAAAAAAGTAAATTCGTCGTTCAACGATAGAAATATTTATGCCTATTACGAAATATTATATAATTTATTCGATATTTTACAAGAGTTTTATATCAATACGTCATATGCTTTCTAAAAGATATAGCAATATATTAACTTAATCGAGCGTAGCGAGAAAACATTTACATATTTAACGAATATAAATGTTATTTTCTAATCCACATTTCTCTCTCACGTTAAAATCATATTAAAATTTATTCAAAATATAAAATATACATACGTAAATATGTATCTTCTTTCATGCAGATTCTTTTTTCATTTGGATTAATGCAGTTGATTCATCTATCAATAGCAGCACCATTACCGGACAGCGCAGGAATCGTTGAGATGGTAAACGGATTAGCTTATGGTAAGTTAGCTCTGCTAATTGGTACTACAGATTACTACTATGACGATATCTTTTGATAATTCATTCATTGTATCAGAAGGTTTCGTATTAAATATAAAGGTGCAAGCCCATGAGCACAGAAAACTTGGTATAACTTTCAATTTTTTGTCGCTGGACATAACTCCACTTATTTCAGCTAGATGGAGCCATAATTTGACGCTAAAAATCAACGTCAAGCGTCACCATGGGGTTGCACCTTTCTAGATTACTGCATTCGAAATAGTTTTATAATAATTATATCTATTAAACAATTTAAATAATGTTAATTAAAACACATTTTTATAATTTTATTGTATATATTATATAAAATATTTTATTTAATATTATATGCAATATTTACATTTTTAGAATATATATAAAATGTATATTTTAACATAAATATTGAAACAAAAAAATATTGTTTATTAATTCCTAGGTGGTATTCCTTATGGGAGTGTATCAGGTATGCTAGCAAAATATCCAAGATATCCAACCCAACAAGCGATTCAATCAAGAAAATTATCTAGTATGAAAGCAATTCAACCTGTGATCGTGACACCCAATTTTAGAGCAACAAGATTGGCAGTAACACATGGAACGCGACCTGTTCAGATTTATAATCTTCCAGGTGTAATTGCACCTGGCGTCGTCGGCACGATCAGTCAAATTGGATTTTGAAAGGTTCATCGTCATTATCTTCTCCTTGAGAATCATCGTGTTATATCTAACAGAAATATTTTTTATTGAAAATTCAAGCCTCATCGTTTGGTTTCGCAAGCATTCAATAACGAAAAACGAACAAGAATTAATGTTATATATTTTTATTAAATAATTCCTCGCAAATTACATATTAATACCGCTTAACGAACGTTGATGCATTTATTGAAAATACAAATGTATGCCATATGTTTTGACTTACTAGAATGTAATAATAATAATAATAATAACATTAATATTAATAATAAAAAAATAATAATATTAATATTAATAATAAAATATAAATAATATAAATAAATTTAATATTAATAAAAAAAATATTAATAATTCATTTAAGTATATAATATGGAAAATACGTAGTTCCAATTATTCATGCGTTAAGTAAGTTGCGAGCATCGAACGATTGAACCATGTAATTGCATCGAAATGCCGATTATACGTTCAAATCCATATACACTCGTATTATATTTTAAGAACAAAGGGACACAGAATTGTTTAGAGAGAGGAAAGTATAAATGACATCGGAGTCGTTGCGTATACCTTAGTCGTCATCAATCCCACGCACGATGCATTACAGTCTGCACGTGAGTATCTAATGTGCGTACTAACATTAACTACAATAAGTCATACTTTAATTACATGTTTTCATAAAAAATCTTGCAATCGTCAAAGTGTAACTTCGGTGCTTGTTACAAAATCCAAAATAATTTAATTATAATTGGAACAATGTAATTTTGAATATTCTAACATCATATTAATCAGAGTGTTTCATATACGATAATAATACTCGATTATTTATAATAATTTCTAATCTCTTTTCATAGAATATACAATTTTATATCGTTAATTCAGCCTTTTAACACGGATTTCCTAGAAAGATCGTTCCTATTCTTAGTCCAATGCACATTAAAGACAGGCGTGATTCTTAGTAAGATTTGAAAATGAGTTGCAAACGCGAATATTATGCTAATCGTGCATCTTGTTACTCCGTTTCGTGACTTCTCCCGATCGGTGAACATGTGCACCGAATATCTTTGATTAGCCTTAAAACCAACGATCCCAAACAACTTAGAAAAAAATACTTTTACTATTTCCGTGAGGACGCAATCGAAGATAGGCATATACATAAAAAAGTTCCGCACGAAGGGACTCACTGACAATTTATCCCTCGTCCTTTTAATTTGACGTTCATGCTTCGTTGAACGGAGCATTGATAATGTTAGTCATTTTATTCTATCCCTATTCTATTCATTAAAAATATCCTAACCGTGAAAACTTCCTTGTGTTTAAATTAGGACACCTTAAAGTCTCATTTGATTAATCATTATGTAAGAAAAAATAATATTCTTTTATAGATACTCCTATGCTACATAACATTGTGGAATTTGTCGAGTATTGGAAGTGCTGCCAAAAGCACGATCAGTAAGTAAATTACTTATATAAAATTTTAATTATTAAAAAAATATTGATTCAATATCTGGAGAATAGAAAAAAAAAAATATTTCTTGTTCCCTCAGATCCGTCTAAAATTTTTCGAATTTTTCTTCCTCTCCGTAATCCGATGATTTCATGGAGTTTTAAATAATTTTTATCTTACATTTATTTTAATTCGAATCTTATTGCCTTGACCAGAACGTAATAATTTACAAGTTATTTAAATTCCTAAATATCTTACTTTTAGTGTCTCCTAAAAATATGTCGACTTTTATAGAGACACCACAGAAAAAGGAATCCGGTCGAATATAAAAAATATAATTAACTAAATTTTATTGTAGATTCCGACATTTTGACGACCTTCGCTAAAAACGTCGCTTCCGCACTGACACCAACTCTATTCGGGGATTTTCCGGCTAACCGAGCTAACAGATCATTTTTCGAAATATCATCGGTCACTAAAACTGAAGAGATTCCAAGATTATTTCAAAGTACCAAAGACAAAATTGACCAGCCTGCAACAACTGAAATTTACCGAGAAGAAAGCAACGCTAATAAACCCAATCGTTTATCAAACGTCAGAAGACAGGCTGATGATTTTTACAGTCCTTACGAGAGACCAAATTATCCAGACAATGTTGGTTATCGACAATCTCAATTTTACGACTCTTACAACGGCCCAAATAATTATTTTCAACCAATCGGTCGAGATGATAGGACCAACTTACGTGGAAGTTTGAATCTAGGTCGTCCTGTAAATACTAGGAATTTTGTAAATAATGAAAATATCGAATCACCAGATCGTTTCGATTCTATTTATCGATCTCACGAACAAATCTCGAACGATAGAAATTTGGGAAGACCGTTTAATGGTTTTAACGAATTCAATGGTTACTCATCTTTCGAAGATCGACGAAGAGGTAATCTCAGATATCATCACAGTCCATTACCAATCGATGGACATTACTTTGGACCTTTTGGATTTGGTCCACACGTTCCTTATCATCATCCCCTAGGTTACAAATATCCGTATGGTTATCATGGCCGGCGACCAACTACAGAATCCAATAATTCTAGCGAGAATAACAATAGTAAGGAAGAAACTAAAGAAGAAAATGGGTCGGATCGTCCAAAATCTGATGATCGTCGACCAATTTATGGAGGCTATAAACCCTTCTATGATTTTCCTCCACCTTACAAATTCGGTCCAGGCTATTATCATCATAGAGATTACAATGAAAGTTCCGTCGATCATCGTCATTATCACGATCCTTATTATCACAAGTATTATGATTATCCATATTACGATGATTTTTATCCTGGTCCTTATGGTTATGGTCCGAAACCGAAAAATGGTAATAAAAATAATGGCAATAATAATGGTGGAGGAAATTCTGAGACACAGGTGAACAAAGACGCGGAAACTATTTCAGCGAGTGAGAAAGCGGAGAAAACGATCGATGCTTCCAATTTAGAATACAAAATCAAAATTCCAACAACTCCCTTCGAAGATGGATTAGAAAATAAACGAATCGTCGATGATGAAGTAGATCATATCGATCCTAATGCTTAATTTATCAAGAAAAATTCGTCATCTTTCTCATAATGTATATTTGTATTCAAGAAAATGATCTTTTTAAATAATTATTCAACGAATTTATATTTTTTTTGTATCATTGATACCATAACCAATTCGATAATTTGTATATAAATAGAAAGATTAAAATAATTAAGTGTCATAATGATTCATTCTCCTCGATCCTATCTCACACTTATTCTATTTCTAAAAGTTTAATTATTCATTAGCTTGTCTGTTCGATGACAGAAGGAAATAAGTATACTTACTATTATCAGAGAATGAGAAAAGTTCAACGATACTCGATATAGGCGCGTTCAAATCTTTGATCTCAGGCTCAATGGTAACCGTTTCCCATGATAATGATATCCGACATGTTCCCACCATATCGACGATTATCCCTATCCTGCTATTATACTTAATTCAACAATATAAAAACATGTCGAGATGTAAAATATATACGGTCTACTAATATTCTTCTTTCATGAGACTGATCTCTTGAAGACTATATCTATGTCGTCGATCACGACCGTATGAAAGAAACGTTTATGCAACGAACTGCATGCAATTATATATGATTATATCCTCTTCACATTTCTTGAAATAGAAAACAAAAAGACTTTCAAAAAAAAAAAAAACGAAAAAAGGAAAAGAAGTTTTGATCTCTTCTCGAATAAAATAATATATAATATGAATAATTAAACACCAAAAATAATGATGACTAATAAAATCAAAATAAGTCAGAGGAAAAGAAAGAAAGATATGCAATAAAGACGGCTCGTAAAATCGGGTTTGACATTTCGCAGTCAACTTGCATATTATTCGTTTGTGTCGACTTACATCACTGCGGTCTTTCCACGCGTCCCTGCACCATACGCAATAGATACTATTAAACTTGGCGTTATCATTGTAACTCTGGCATATTTCTACATTTTATAATTGAATGTTCCTTTTTTCTTCTTCTTCTTATTCATTTTTCCCCCTTTCTTTCTCTCTTACTTTCAATATTATTAAATAAAATTTCAGCAGAGCAACCATTCGTCTCTCTTCTCATATTTCTGTTTTGGTTACGATACTCGTGACAGGAAGGTTTCATTCTCAATTCTCTAACACATCGATATCACATACGTTAGTATATATCGTTGAATGATCTCTAATTATGAAGTACTAAGCAATGGTTTCGCTTGACGTATTATCTCTCTCTCTCTTTTGTGTAATAAGCAGACAAGCTATTTACGGTTATTAATCAAGAATCGTCGACAACATAGTTGTTGGGAAGAAATTTGGATGTCAAGGCACTCCGTCTATGTATATACATTATGTTTACCTCGGAATCAGCCACACATGTGCGACCACGCCATGCATTATTCTTTCATAACGTCGTCTTCTATTCGTATAATCTTCCCTGACAATAGGCTTTGCTATTAACGTTAGAACGGACCAATACCGTAGCCAGGGAAAAAAAATCTTATAAACAGAACTACTGGTTTTCTTATAAAAGAGCTTTACTCGTGTCTAATCTCGACAGTTTTCTTTGAGAGAGTACTCGTCTTCTTTCTTGTTAGATCGATCGATCAACGAAGAACGAACGGACGAAAAATGGCCTACTCAAAACTCGTAAGTCAAATTGGCGTTATGTTTATAGAAAAATTAATTACTACTTTTATTTAATGTAAGCATTACAAAAATATATAAAATAAATAAGTATCGAGGAGAAAGATTTATATACGTCACGAGTGTTTCTCGATAATATATTCGCAATTTAGAATCTTATTTTTATTTCTTTTCTTATGAAAAACTTTCTCTGTTACGTCTTATCCCAATAGTTCTTCTTCTTAATATTTTGGTTTGCTTCTTATTTAGTTAATAGTTTTGTTGTTGAGTCTCATCGTCGGCATCGCAGTTGCAAAACCAGGATATCTCGGCTATAGATTCGGTGGATTCGGATACCCATATGGCGGCTATGGTTATGGCTACAGATATCCATTCTACGGATATGGTCATGGTTATGGATTTTATGGTAAAATTTAACATATTAATTAAGTAACTATTTTATATAATGATAAACCTATATGATTTCTATCGATTCTAATTTCTTTTTTTTAGGAGGTTATCCATATTACGGCTTCGGTCACGGTTTCGGTCATTATGGATATTATATATGATCAGTGAACAGTGACAAATTATTTCTGTTAAGGAAAATATCAATAAGAAAGTAATCGCATTTATCTCGTACTTCATGTTACGCGAACTATAAGTCTGTGCTTTCGTAAATTTCTTTACAAATAATTTTTACATGATAACTCACAAATTTATGCTATGTTATCTCAAAAGATTTATTGCATTTATATCAAATTATTTACAATATATTATATTATATAGAATAATATTAAGTGAAATAAAATAAAGAAGATCCACGTTGATTCGATTATATAAATGATATTGCAATGTTTTAGCGAAGCTAATGATTTCAAAATCTCTTGAAATAAAGTGAAGGAGTTACGTCGAATTAGAAAACTAATTTTAAGCACTTGTAAATTTCTAAACACCTGACAATAAATTACGACTATGTTACTGCCAAATATGTTTCGTCAGGTAACATTTTTGGTAACCTCTAACGAACAGATACAATCTCGAAGACTTTTGTATCAATTATAATACATGTTGCTTAGAAGATCAGTGAACCCAAAAGAAAAAGGTTTCCTTAATTTTTGTTCTAACAATTTAATCTTATACGACGAAATTTCAAGCCACATTTATTAATCAGAAATATTTGAAAGGTCAATAAAAATATATATGCATAGCTTGTTGCAATACGAAAATACATTTTCGGTCTCGAGACCCAAATCCATGACCTTCTTTGCCCAAATGGATGGTAAATGTTCCATCTCCGTTCCTTTTTTGTCCATTTTTTTTGCAGCCGAGCTTCGTTGTATAATAAATGACCAAAAAAAAAAATAAGCTTAAGAGAAGCATCTTAAAAAAAAAAGACCGGTTCAAGGAAAACCAAGCCAGATCATTGAATATAATGCATGCATACTGATATATGTCTAGATGTTTATATAGTATATAATAATCGTGTAATTTATCCTATTATAAATGTTATCGTACATTTTCACTTTCTAAAGGAGACTCTTTACGAAAATTGCAGCATCATATATGAGGTGAAATATCAAGCGCATCATCGATCATACAGGTTCGTGCCTCGACGAATAGCTCGAGACAAAATATTACAAAAATGTTATCTTTAATTATAGTTAATCGTAGTACTATAATTGACACACTATTAGATATAATATTATTCAGGTAATATATTAGTATTAATAGATGTCATTAATATGAGGGTTATCATCTTATCTAATATAACTTATACTTTATTAGTAAAATAAAATAATTTTATTTCTATCGAAAGAACCTGCATTCGAAAGGAATATCCCTAATTAATATTTTTCATTGTTAGTAAGAAGTGAACAAATTATTGATAAATCGTATTCTCCTTCGTATACATTCAATGACGAAACGCTTGGATTTTCTGCGAAGAATGCATCAATTACTAATTTGCATAATTTAATACTGTTTAATTTATCACTACTTTGTTCACGCGTTTTCATTATTTGAATGATAGCATAGAAGAACGTTATAATTACATCGACAAAGAATAAATCGAGTCTAAGAAACAATGACATGACGCGAGTAAAGAAATAAGAGTATTACTGGTATATGTTCATAGAATATTGATTATGTGTCTCATCTTCTTGAAGGATCTTCCTTTGTAAATATTTTTCTTTTTTCCTCCCTTTCTCTTCTCGTATATGAATAAGAAAAAAAGAAATAAAAAAGAAAAATTAAAAGTAAAAAAAAAAAAAAATATATAAAAAATATATAAGAGAAAGAGAAATAATGATATAAAAATATTCGTGAAGTTTCGAAATCCACGCACGCTTGGGTAATAATTATGGAAAAGAGAGTTCCAATGAGAGTTCGTATCTTCGGAGAAGAAGAGTCGTTGAGGTCGCTTAGAACTTTTCAGGTCAACGAGCGTTTCAGCATTTACATTACAATAGTCGTAAATATAGTATATCATTTTATAACTCGCTTATCATGTAGAATTCAGTTTTATTAATGCTATCCCAATCACCCTTGAATATGAAGAAAACTTCGTAAGATTTGGTTGATATCTGCATCGAGAGTCGATTATGTAATTCTTATGAGAATCATCGTTAGAAACATCGTAAGTTAATATTATCACTTTCTTTCTCTCGTATATGTATATTATATATATTTTTTCATTTGCGTTAGCCAATCATCCTAATTCGAGAACGCATTTTCTCAGCAGGTTTACCTTGAAAGTTTAAACACATTCCTTTTCTACATTGAATCGAATCTAATTCATTTTCAAGGCTTTCTTTCCTGAAATTATTTCCAAGGCTTTTAACGCGTCGCTCCCATCGACAAATTCTTAACCAATTCATCTGGACATTTAGTGATTATGTTATCCTCTTAACTTAAAAATAATTTCATAAAAATAACTTCAGCCGGATGAGATAGATTATTCATAGGTCATTGCCTTTAGGGATCGAACGTCTTCAATTTCTCTACTTGAAATGAATATTGAAAATAATTTTTCTCTCCTCGACTTTCTACTTGGTAACAGTTATTTATTCTTTTATAAAAAAATAATATTTGCGCAAGGATTTGTGTGTGCACGATTCGATGACGAATGTCACGAATATAACACCCACGTTATATGACACCTACTCCAATGTGGATCCGTGATAATTATCTTCTAGTGAATTAAAGGTCTCTATCTTGAACGTAATGAAGCATTGCTGGATAAAATCGCACTTTATCCAAGTCCGTTTCGTGAAATGTAAGCAAAGGAAACATAAATAAGTCGTATCCTGATGAGAGAAAGGTACTACCACACAACATTTCCGTTAGGTGCAGTAATCGATTTTGAAACTTCTCATTTTACTCTCTACCTATCTTATTTGTACGGTACATTGTCGACATGAAATAAATTTAGTTTTCCCCATCTCACTCCCGACATCCTTATCATCCTTTAACAGACATCGTCTTTACAAAGATTTATATCAGAGTAAGAAAATATCTAAGGTCAAAGGAATCGCGATTACGAACTTTTATATAATATACCTATATATCTATATAAACATATATATTTACGTTTACACGTAAGAACGTATAAATACATATTATTATATATCTATACGGTGCGATACCCACGGTAAGTTCCTTCATTCACGCTAAAACAGAATATACGAGAGAAAGTTATGATCTACGAGAGAAGGATTTCATTCATGGATAATTACCATTAAGAAACTGATACACCGAACGTTTTGTTGGCCTTGAGAATTTACCAATAAGATGATCAGTTTTAATCGGACTCTGTGAGTCCGGCATTAGAAGGTTGTATGCACCATGAAATCGACCTTTGTAAGCTACGTGATCAGTGGGAAAGAAGAATCGAATATGTTCGATGAGAGATTTTCTTCTCGTAACGATCTGATCGATTTGTATCTATAATAATCCTCTTTCGATTGTATTCGATCAGAAAAACGGGTCTTTCAAATCTTTTTTTCAATGTTATCATTATATAAAATCCTGCCACTTCTGTTTGCTAATATGCAATAAATGCGAATGTAAGATGCATTAATGTTCTTTCGATGATTCGTTACGTCGATATTGCTTATATCGAGAAAGATCATCTACTCTTTATAAACATTAATTAAATTACATCGTCTACTAATATATTCTCTTAATCGTTTCGCTTAGGATGATAATTGTTTTTAGCATTCCAATTACCAACCTTACCGATAAATATTGTTCTCGTTTTTAGTTATATTTTATGGATATTATTTAATTTATTACTTAAACAATATTGTTTAAAAAATATGTTATAAAAACGTATTAATAGTAATTGTAAGAAAAAGTTAAAAGAAAAGAAGAATAATGAAGACACGCTTTAACCAATCATTTTAATTGATTTCAGCAAATCTCTAGGATTAAATAAGTTTACGAAAAACAAAATTGGTTTTTCCTTATGTTATTACACGTACACGATTGTAACGAATACATGTATAAGAAAAGAAAGACACGATTAATGATCTACCATCGAACATCATTTTATCCTTGCTCGACAGTATCCCTTATTTCTTGCAAACAGTTTTATGTAATATATACTTGTGCTATCCTCCTCTTAACAATACTTTCCAATTGGTTAGTGTTGAAATTATTAGGTGTAACGACTAATTCGGTGCCTTGATATAAAATTCATTTCAACAAAATTGACATTTTATTGTCGTCAAAGAATTCGACATTTGCCTGAAAGATAGATCAGATTCATTGAAAATAATAGACTATTTCGAAGAATAATAGATGTATGATTATATTTGATAAATAAATACTACATTTTTTAAAAAGATAATGAATTCATCGCTACAGTTAATAATTTGAAGAAATGTGAAAATCGATCATATTGAAAATAAAAAGGGTTGCGTTTTGTTTCTACGTGAAATGAGATCTTGAAAAGATAATCGGCGCCTGTACGATTGCACGAACAGTCAAGTACAGGGACTCTGTCATTAAAACGTTCCGCCAAATCATTCCTTTTCTTTATTCTTCTATTTCGCCTTTTTATTCGCACGAACAACAATGAGCAACCGTCGTTATCCAAGTAGCATTTCCAGTCAAGATCCACATTGCAATTACAATGTAGTAGTCGTGACAGGTATCATCGCATCCGAATAATTCGTAATACAATTAAGAAACTACTGGATTCGTAATTAAATATCTTAAGAATGGCTATGTGCTAATCTGTTTTATAATTAACGAGTTAACGTAACGTCTGTCATTAGGTATTACGATATTAAGTCGAAAGGCGTATGTAATCCTAGTACGTATAATAAATATTTTAATGTTATTTCCAAAAAAAAAAGACTTGACATAAAAAAAAAATAAAAAAAAATAAATAAAAAAGCATTAATAAGTATGCTTAAAACTTAGCTTATATATTGATATTACCATTAATGAAGATTTATTAAATTATTATGAGAGCCCGAATGAATATATCACATATTCGAAATAATTTGAAGTCGTATGGACGAGCACGGGCACTCGATCGAAATTATGTGTATCCTTGAATCCTCCGAAACGGTCGATCGCGAGATTCCGTTGTGTCGGCACACGCAACTCAATGGACCTTTTGAAGATATAACTTGGTTGGCATCGTCCTTCTTTCCTTTTCTCCTACCGAAGCGAACTCTCACTTTCTCTCTTTCTGGATCCTTCTTCTTCTTCTTCTTCTTCTTCTTTCCTTGCTATTGGCTCCCCCTCACTCACATCGATGTTCTTTCTCTCTCCCACTCTAGTAGGACACGAAAGAAGAAGAATTACAGCATCCTCTTGGACACATTGGAT